CACATCCGCTCAGCCTGAAACCGCCTGACGCCGGCGCCAAAATACCTCTAGGTCACCAAATCCGCTGAAAACTTGTATACGGAGGTTATTTGACATCTTGATTACAAATATCACATTCATTTTTGGCGCTGGCGCTGATGGAAGACGCTGCGATCATCTGCGCTCTGCTAAGGCTGAGCCTGACCTGAAGGAAATCACTCTTTCTCCCAGCCTTAGAAAGCGCTAAATGGCGCTGGCGTCGAAAAATAAATGTCATATTCGTGATCAGGGCATCAAACAACCCCATTATGCAGGTTTTTATCGATTTGATAAAAAAGGGTGTGGTGCCAACTTAGCGCCTTGTCTATACGTAAATAGATCAAATTGTACCTTGGGTATCCCAGCCAGCAGAGGGTCGTGTTTGATCGCCGGAGGGCGGGATTTCGTGTTCTGAGAATTTTTTCTGAGAATCTTTTTTCGGTTGTTGACGTTGGTCCTCCGCCTCGACCGAAGCTTTTTGGAGAAAACTGGAGAATTTAAAAAAACTCAGAGAAGTGGTAGGAAGTTGGAAGAATTTAGAAGGGTGGTAAATAAAATGGTGAATGGGAAAGGGGGAGGGGTCCAATATAGAGATTCTTGAATTTGAGGTCGTATTTTGCAAAAAGTTGGCACTTTTAAACTGTTACTACCCCAAAATCAAAAAAATTTTTTTGCTGAAACTTTGCCCACAGAGGTAATTCGGTGTCCTGATCACGAATATAGCACTCGTTTTCGGCGCTGGCGCCAATTGGCGCCAGTTTGGCGCCGCCACCTTTCTCACCAAATTCGGTGTAAATTTGCAGTAGGGTTATTTGATGTCCTGATCACGAATACCAAATTAGTTTCCAGCCCTGATGCCATTTGGCACCACTAGGCGCTAATTTGGCACCACACCCTTTTTTATCGAAATCGATAAAAATGGGAGTTTTTATGGGGGTTTCTATGCCCTGAGCCCCTGAATCACGACCATATGAATATTTTCGACGTAATATCGTATGTATACGTTTTTTTACGTATAGGTTATGCCTTCTCACCACCTCCTCTGCATGGGTGCACAGTGCAGTGCGCACGTGGAGAAGAGAGCGATCGGCGTTGAAAGAAACGTTTCCTATTCTCGCTAGACGTGAAGCGCAAAGCCCAGATCGTAATAGCAAATGTTCATGAATACTCATGAATGTGCTTGAAATGTGCGCCTAAAAGCAGTCGAAGGAAGAATTCACCACGTTCTGAAAATGACGCCGATTTGTGTTTTATGCTGCAATGGATTTACGAGCCTAAGTTGAAGAATTTGTGAGCACGCTCACGTTTGTCTGTATACTGCAAATCTCTGAGATGCGGTGGGCGTGGCTGCGCAGTTCAATTCAGAAGTCCCGGCGGCTGCGATTCCGGCAAGATATTTTCATTTCGGAACAATTGTCCAGCACAAGACAAGGTGAATGTGTCTAAAATCGTGATATCCCAACAAAATCCATCCTATGTCATGTTCAGATGAAGGACGCAGCCACGCCCACCGCGTCTCAGGGTTGTGGATTTTACCTTGAGGTGATAAAAAAGGAGGAATAGGTGCCTCTTTTGTGGGGGCAAAGGGGGAAGGGGAGAGTGAGTCGCAATGAGTCGCCCAAAAATCTCAGCGCAAGGTTGTACCCTGTTCCCACAGCAAATTCAACCGTGAACGTTATTCTCCCTTTGGGCGATAAATATGTCACAGTGACAGACAACAACTTTAGTAAGGTCTACAGAATGATCTTTGTGATTCCGCTACCACCTATAGGACAGCCACAATAAATGGTGAACACTCAAGCAGAACCGGCGCCCAAGGTTTTGACGTAGGGCGTTGTTCACAACCTGCGACCCTGACAAAGAAACAGCATCTACGAAAAGACTTCGATACTCATTGATTGGGAGGATCGGCGATCGCCGTGGCGATTGGTCGGTTCTCCCGCTAGCCGATTCTCGCTGTGAGGGTCCAGAGATATTTTCTCATCGCGTCTACTGGCCAAGCAGTGGAAGGAGAAGGAAAGGGAAAAGGGAAGAGAGAAGGAAGGGAGGAAAAGAAGGAAGGAGGAAGGAAAAAGGAAAGAGGAGAGAAGCTTCGCGGTTGACAAGTGTCCTGAGACGGGCGTCGCGCCAAACCTGCCCACTCCTCTGGCACGCCCCCCGTCCACAGTGAACAAGACTGTACCACGTGATGGCGAGACGGCAAAAGATTGAGTCTATAGGGTTATTTACAAATATAGGTAGCAAAACTGCAACCTGCATTTCACAAGCAACTTATGAGCAGGTAAAGTTTGTAATGGTGCAGTAGGGTGGAGGCTTGGTGGTGAGCTGTGAAGCATAAGCGAGGAATCGCATACGTCGAATCGAGTCGTGGTGGTTCAGTGGTAAGGTTCGACGTTCGACGACTCGATTCGACGTATGCGATTCCTCTTATGCTTCACAGCTCACCACCAAGCCTCCACCCTACTGCACCATTACAAACTTTACCTGCTCATAAGTTGCTTGTGAAATGCAGGTTGCAGTTTTGCTATCTATATTTGTAAATAATCTATCGATATACCTAGGTTTCCATTCGAAATTTCATGGTAATTTAGCGGACTTCCCTAGTTAGCATCAAGGTCTGCACCCGCATAGTGTACACCCTCCTCACTGAAAAGGGCGAGATAAGCGACCCACGGAGGCGTGACTCCCAACCACTTTGATCTTTAGGCTCTGCAAGACAATGGCTTACACGGTGAGTTACGTGGCGCAGCGTTGATGTAGCGCGCGGTCGTCAAACGGGCCCCACCTCCCGCGTGCCAGGAACTATTTGCTTTTCCAGGCTAATTTAGTCATATTTTTTCCACCTTGTGAAGATAAGGAGCTGCTAATCTGGGAAAAAGTAGCCAAAACAGTGAAAAGTTGGAAAAAATGACTAAATTAGCCTGGAAAAAAGCAAATAGTAAACAGCTGTCGCCGGGCGCCTCCTACCTCTACTTTCCTCTACTTCCCCTTGGCCACCCTGCGACCCCGTTGAACGACCGCGCCTCAATCAACTGCGCGGATGAACGAGGGTACACGGTGGAGTTACGTCCACGCAATTTGTACTCAGCGTCGTAGGACGATTGCATATGCTTGTCGATTGCCTTGGCTTGTCGAATCTTTTGCGAGCTCATTAGTTGTTTCCCTTGGATTATTTCCACAAACAAGTCAAAGCAGTATAATCTTGAGAAGATGCGTTGTAGAGAGCTGCCTTAGCTTCAGCGATACATTTGTGCTGGTGGCAAAAGCCCGTCCTGCAAGCTACTGTTAACTCCTGATTTGCATGCTATAAATTTTCGAAAGGCTATATTCTAATGTTTTCGCTCTCGATTGTTGTAATTTGGCATTTAGTGCTGGAAGATGCAAAGAAACGATTTGTGAGCAAGGGTTCCACAGGGTGTCATGTGGCCAGCAAGTCCGAAGAACTTGTACAGGCTGCGCAACAGTCAGGGAGGGGTTTTGTTAAGGGGGCAACTAATGGCATCTGACCCCGGCTTGTACGCTATGAACCGTCTGTATGGTATGTATGGTACCCGCGGGCTCAATTCACGTGAAAGCAATCATGTGTAAAACAATTTATCCATTATGTACAAACGCACCAATCCATTGCACACAATTGAACATTTAACAACAAATCATTCGCTTAAAATGAATAGATGAAAAAATATCACAGCGACATTAATAAATTTAATTTAATTGATTAACGCATTTGGAAGAAAGTAATGAGAAGAAAGAATTTAGTGATTAAGAGTAACCCATATACTCTGCACAAACAACATGTACACACGGATGAATATCAATATTTAATGCTCCAAGAAAAAGAATCGTCTTTTCAGAAAGTGATACCCAAAGCAAGCCGTAACCTGACTCGAGAAAATTACCGAAACTCTAACCTAGATTCTACTAGAAATCGCAAGATTTGCTACGAGAAAAGGCAATGACAAGTGAACAACTATTAGGCTAGCAAAAGATTGTTACAAGCATGGAACAAATCTACAAAGGAATGATCGCGAAGCTCATAACTCATCTATACCACGGTAACCAACTAGCATTTCTTTTCGGAATTCGTCGATCTCCTTGATGCTGGACGAGTACCTTCCAAGACTTTGGAACAACGAAACCACTTCATTCCTTAAAAGAGTGCAAAATAAATATTATACAAGGAGCCGGCAGCTCTCCAAAACTGTCTATCCCTGACAGCTAGACTGAAGTGCTCAGTTCTGTGATATAAAGGCGCATTATAAAAGCACATTCTACGCTAACTTTCGTATTACAGAAGCTACCGAAGAGCTCGGCTTAAAGGCACGAACCGAGTTCAAAAATGGTAATTTGTGTAACTCAAATACTGATAACAAGATCATAAATACAACACTCAAGAAAAACACATTAAAAACAAAATGCTTCATGTAGAACCCCATCGCGAACCGCGTTTGCACATGCACAAGGCGGAAAAAAGGTGTGGTCGGACGAGTTCTCACTCAATGGTACCAGCTCCCTTTTATCACCCATTTTGACCATTCGAAACAGAGCTAGCAGAGGAGCAACCGCTCCACTAGAAGGCTCTAGGAGTGAAAGTTGGGAGTTGCGGTGGACATGGGGCGGGGCGGCGGCCTCTCCGCGAGCGGGCGCTTTCTTCACGTATTTTGGAGCTGCGAAAGTGGTACATTCTCCACGTTCGCAGCCGCGAATGACATCTTCAAAAAAGGCGCATGAATATTAAATGAATGCGGGGGTGCCTCCAAGGGCTCACTGGTACCGTTGTGACATCAACAATCGAGATCTCACTCTGAAACGCACTCTTTTGGCCATACGCTCACTCACTGAAAGAAATTACGAAGCTCTTATCTAGGGCGTTTTCGACGGTTCCGTTTGCATTTTCATTCTCTCTTGCGGGTCACTTAATATCTTCCCATCAGAATTAATACCACTCCCACGCAAAGTATGTCTTCTTCAGTGCCTTGAACATCATGTGAAGCTGCTGTTCAAAAAACTTACCGAGTCAACTGGAACGGAGCATTTACTATGGATCCTTTAGAATTAACCATGTAGTGAGAATGTGGTAGATCTGAGAAAAGGATTTTCAGTGCGGTACCCATGCCGTGAATTTGAACCTGAAACAAAGAATGCCAATTCAAGTGAAAGAGCAACGAAATGCTAACAATCGTGTGGTAAAAACCATGGGTAAAACAGGGTAAAACGTAGGGCAAAATATTAGAGTTACTTGAAAGAAGTCCAGTACTCACTTTTCCCCACAACCGGCATTTATCGCAAGCAACACAATCCATTATCCGTGAAATATTGAGGAAATGTGATCTGAATTCCTCTCGCAGTTCGCGAGCATGTGCTTCTACACCCTAAAAAAGTCTTCCTATTAAAAGAAGGCCATCCAGAGAACGACTCGGAAATGTTCTGGAACGATCAACTTGACAGTACCGTAAACAGCTCATGTTCATCGAATTGGTCTGGAAACTGTCGAATGATGTCCAACAACTCATCGATCGCAACACGAGTTTCAATGTCCTCCTGGAAAAAAAACTTTATTGATAAAAGGATGACATGACGTTCCTCACCGCCTCCATTATTCATTCGAATGGCAGGGAGAAAACTTTAAATGCAACGCGAAAATCACAATGCAAGACCCACATTAACGCTTTGGGTCATACAAGGGGTGTTCAATGTATTCTCGGTATAGGTATGAAGTAAAACGCAGAAAATTCCGCAGAAAAAAATTATTTTCCAATGTAGCCCCCATAACATCATTACACTTGTTTGCTCGGGAAACTAACTCTTCAATAAAATATTTTTCCTCCTTCTCCCCAAAATGTGCATTAATTGCTGCCTTCATCTCTTCGATGTCAAAAAAAACGCTTTCCACGAAGAATTTTTTAGGTTGGGGAAAAGAAGTAATTCCTAATTTCCTAAATTTCTAATTCCTAAATTCATTTCATTTTCTCAATTTTCTTTTCATTTTTCTCAATTTTTTTTAATCATTAATAATCTCCTCAACACTGCGCATCAATCATTCTGATACTCTTGCCCCAAGGATAATTAGAGCAGCATTGATGATAATTAAATGGAATTTTGTATTTATACTCTCACGGAGTGTTGTTACTTACTGAAGTAATTCATATCCCTTCGTCACTGCTAAATTACCCCGACACCGAGAATAATTTCAACGGCCCTCGTATATAGGCAGACAAGAAAAATGCGTTTTGTATAAAAGAATCGGGTGTAGTGCAACAGGTTTAGTTCTGCCGCGACGGAGAAAAAATCATGGAAGTGGAAAAAATCAAGGAAGTCACGCAGGCGCATTTGCCCACGACCTCGTTGGTTCTCTGCGGAAGAGCTGCAGAAGGACGAGTCCAGTAGTTGTGAATAATTCCGGCAATTCATACAGTAGTCGAAACGTAGAACTTCTGCTCTACACTCAAAGATTTACTGAAGGTGAGCAGGATTGGGTCAGGAGTAGAGTATGGAAAATAAGAAAGTCTGGTCAAGTCTTAGAGTAACAAATCTCAAAATGAATCCGGAGAGAATATTGTGCGGAGCTTGGAAAGATATACCGTGATCCCAGCCTTTTAATGGGATCAGTTTTTCTTTGCTGCAGTACAGCAGTCATTTATTGGTAAGCACCACTTCCTAGTTAACTTGAAAACTATGATTTCAGTAGAATCAACGTTGAACATTGAATTACCTTTTCATTGCCAGTGTAAAACAGCTCTTTTTGCAAATAAGGTCCAACTTTCAGAAGAGCACGCAGCTCCAGCAGGAACACAAAATAAACATTTTTCAATCTGCAAAAATCGGAATGAACACGCAAAAATAAGCTTGAAACCAACATATGAAACAAATTCATCAAAATCCTAATCCCTCGTACACAAATACAACTCGAGAGTGTTGCATCACCGTAGTCAGGCAGCGTTCAGACTTCGCGATGACGTGCGTCGAAGCGCTGTGACGTGCTTCGGCGCGCTACAATTGCAACAGCGCTTCAATTCTGTAGACGCAAACATAGCTGCAGACAGGAATCGATCGGCGCCAGCCGTTTCTATTTCGTGAGAGAAAGGATAACGAGAGGGCAGGTACTGCGTTCACTCTACCTGGGTGCCGATCGGCAACAGACTGCGTGGTTACCCGTATACGCCTAATCACGCTGTCTGTTCCATCCGGTTGTTCCTCCCATACTTTCTCAATGCACAAGCGACCGGCGTCAATCGCTTCTCGTCTGCGACCGCATTCGCTCTATAGCACTGGAGCGCTGTTGCAATTGTGGTGTGTCGAAGCGCGTTGCAGCGCTTCAACGCACGTCTTCGCGAAGTATGAACACAGCCTTTGACTCACTTACCGTTGTGGTCCCTCCCAGCTCCATTTCGTTCCGAATCGCCCGGCAAACATCTCAGTATTGCGGAACCATGTTCCAGGTCCGAATCCAGCAGGTGCTGAAGTTAATAGTTGACTTCAACGACAAGAAAAGAATGTACCTCACGACTTACCAGGTTTGTAATTGTATGCCGCTATTGATATTGTGATAGCAGAGTGGAAACCCGAGATGAGTCTATAGAAAACTCTTTTCTCCAAGCATAACCCTGAACAGCGTTCGTTAAGCAAGGGAATTTTCACGAGGAGATTGTCTCCCAATCCAAACGAAGGGAAAGAACATAAGAGGAAGAGAGTAATATTCGACAAGAAGAAACCCTAGCGCGGAGAGCGCACTGAAAACTTTAAAATTCAGACCTATCGACACTGTGTGACATGGTTCGTTACCTTACAAATTATCCAATGAAACGGTTCTCCGAAGAAGTACATTATAGTTTGCATCACAGACTCAACTGCAGTCGCAGCATTTACTAATAAAGCCCACAGCCTCATAGCAGCCATCTCTGCTTGTGTCATACACAACCACCATAACAAGCGTGTGGATGGGGCTCTGTGGGCCCCCTTCTACCGAGTATGGCCGGAATTCAGCCTGTGGCGATAGTGCTATCAGAATGACAAGATTGCCATACAGCAAAGGCCCACAATAGTTGCATTAAGTTGAAATGTTCTACGTAGACACTCATGAAAAGACTTGGTAAAAATATTTCAATACGTATTTTCTGATGTACCCTAGGACAACAAAGTTAATGATATGTGAAGGGTTACATTTTTTTGATTTTTTTCCTGTCCAAGTATCTAAGCTTAACGAAGTAAAGCTCATCATGTAATTACAAAAGGAGGAGTTGCAGTACTCTGCAGTTCACTTGAAGGACTAAGCCAAACGCCCTATTATCACTAATCGCAAGAACGTACATACAAAATAGCACTTTAGAGAGAGAATATACTGGTGTAGCGAATCTGACGATAGGCACTTAAATTTGAAGTCGAATGTGGAAAAAAGTGAGCGAGGTGGACAGGTCGCGACCCTCATTTTGAACTGCCCTATGATTCGCAGGCATGCACCTTATTCTTATTCTCTCCTCACGCGCCTAAGGGGGTCACAGAATAGCTGCAGGCGCCCACGGCGCAGCACGTCCTGGCGACTCGTGTCTCGGCGTACCAAGGCTTTGGTTTCGTTCACACTTTGCGTCAGCCTGAGCGACTAGGGAAGTATAGGAATCGATCTAATGTACGCCAAGGCCAGCGCAGGGCAGCGTTCTGCGAGCGACTAGAAAAATGTGAATGCATATTAGTCTGTCGTGTTTTGATCGTACGTTCAGCGTTTTTGAAGCGGCGCTACAGACAGTTTTGACCGTTTTTGCGGACATCTAGAAACGGCTTCCCATACCCTAGAAGATACCCATGCTAGTCTCTTGAAACACATCCTGTTGAAATGATGCCGTAGCCTCCAAACACGGTGACGCAAATATCGAAGGCATTAGAGCACGGCCTAGAGCAGAACGCAGAAGCGTCGCCATGCGGCCATCTTAATCACGTTGAGAGAGCCACGTTGAAATAATTCGCACTTCAAAACAACATTACGCGGTCCTCCAAAAGCACTGCATTTGCGATACGCCGAAAAAGACAAGCGACCACAAATCGATTTTAGGAAATAAAGGTAATCCTGAAAAACTACACTACCACATGTGTTTTCGTAATCTGTGGGCCTGCTGAATGGCAACTTCGTCATGCTCTCTAAAATAGTGGAAAAGAAAAAGTGTGACAGACCATGGAGATTTCCGAAAAGCTTCGAAAGATAAAGACAACACAAAGAAACACACATTTTCCACGCAAACCCACTATTTCTAACAACGACGAAATGCCTTGCTTAACATACCTTCTGCAAACACTAATTTGATGAAAAAGAAGTACTGGTATTAAGTGAAAGGCTAGATTATGTTAACACACTGAGCAACACTGAACACACTGATTGTGAGAAAAAACTCTTCTTGCAAATAAAAATTTTTAGTGAATTCCGAAAGGATAACAACGAGGAAAAACCATGGTAAGAATGGAACATACCGAAGTTGTCGGGGTGCATCAGAAAGTTTTTGTCGAACTTCATGTCGGGTCTGAAGAAAAGAGGAAAATAAGGCAATAGTTCAGTAAGAAATATTCAAACATGTTCTATTAATGATGAATGCGCATTAGTATACCTTAGAGGGAGGAGGTAAGACACGTACCGATTCCTGGAAACGTGCCGGGCCATTTTGTGGGGACTTGAATACTCTTGCAGGATTACGAAACGCTAAGGGCTTGATAGCCACGGAAACTTCTGAGTAGTATTTTCCTATCCAAGACACAGGGTAGCATCGTGAGGCGTGAAATGTTGCTATCATTACGACCTTCTTGGAATTTCATCCACTAGTATGCCATTAAGAACACCCCAACCCCAAGGCAAATACGACCTCCTGCCCGGCGATCAAGTAAGAGCCTTTGATGGGATTCTCCCAACGAGTTAGACAGCATTTATTGTCAGGAAATTACGAAGAAGCGAGCGCTAGCCAGGAGGGTCAGGACTCGTTCTCAAGCACAGGAAAGAAGGAGCGAAGGAGTGAAAGACTATGTGCAGAAAGTGATCAGGAATCGAAGCCCGTGCTAAGTGACGTAGCTCCGCAGGGTTTACAGGAATTTGAAAGACATAAGAACTAACCAGGAAAGGTCAACAGGTCAGCCTGGCCATTTGCAATGAGATGCACATCACTGTACTCATCTTGACACGTGAACTCATCTTCAAAATTTGCAGAACGATTCTCTGAGCGGAGTTATGGAGGTTTTTCTTTGTTTTTCTTCTTACGGGCGCGCTGGCGCCGAAGCGTTGGCACATGTAGCGCGACTCACAGCGCTCTTCGCGCAAAACAGGTATCATATTCGTGTTCAGGGGGTCAAATAACCCTACGGGCGTCACACCTTAGCGAAGTCTTAGGTTCTACCTCGATTTCGAAAAAAAAAATGGGGTATGGATAGTCATGGCTGACTGATAACCAACAGCGATACCATGGCTAGCACACTGGTGATTTGACTGGTTCTTCGAACTGAGAGGCAACTCCGTTCACGTCATGGCTTCAACTAACACAGCAACCGCTACCTGGCTTACTTATCTTGTGCCGCCTTGACATTCAGTTTCTCTTCACTACTGAGAGAAATGGCTCAGTTCCGCAGACCAGCTCATCAATGGTGTATACGTGTGTGAGCTCCAATTTGCGGCAGTTACCCATGGAATGAGCCATACATTTTCTCTAAGTTGAGGTTGAAAGATCTCAGATTCAGCCTAGAACTTGTCCCCAGGGGTAATTTAACCCGTGTGAACATGAATATGATGGTATTTCATTGCAAAAACCCTTGTGACACGTGTTACGAGGGGTACAAGCAGAAGCACTCTTTCAGGCCACAATGGGTCTACACTTTCAAAAAAACTGATCGCAGGTTCCCTTATAGGGTAGTGCAGGCGAGCAGAGATGTTAGAAGCTTTGTCGGCTATGTTCTTGGACAAATGCAAAAAAAGGGACCTGCCCCGGAACCGATCCTACGACGTCTCGCCTAAGAAACCCGCTCCCTACCCGTTGCGCTCTGCTACCACGTTTCAGAACGACTCCATACATAAATGTAAAGACGCTTCCACGTTTCCTCGCGATAGCATGTGAAACGACCATGCGGGGATAAAACCCTCCATAACTCCGTTCAGAGAATCGTTCTGCAAATTTTGAAGACAGTTCTGAGTTCACCGTCCCAAGACGCGTACAACGGTGTGCAGCTCATTGGAAATGGCCGGGCTGACCTGATGACCTTTGGTAAGAAGGAAGATTGCATCCTATTTTGTAAATCTGAAAGAACACTTACTTGAAGCAATTCTCCTGATAAATGCTTTTCCATACACGAATGGCTGAATCTCCTTTGTATCCCGTGTATCGTTCCGGATTCTTCGATAAATCAACATAATGCATATCGGAAGAGTCCTCATCTAAAATACGATGATAACTAAGCAAAACGCAACGACACTGTAATTGGGAAAGAGGGGACACGGATCAAAGACCATGATGAATATGACTCAGTCAACTCCAAAACCAAAAATCAATTTTTTTTTCTGGTCCCAAGTCGAAAACTCAAAAAATTAGCATGTCCATAAAGCTGCGACGTAAGCTCCAAGCATGACACTGTGAATTTTGTTACATTAAAGGGTTAAATCCCAGTTCTAAGCACGCGAATCACCCTTAGAGCGTAAGACGAGAGAGAAAGGGGGGGGGGGAGAGAGGCGAGCATGCACTTTACTTTTGCCAAAAGGTAGCATGCCGCCCGCACGATATAAGTATGCGGTTTTGTGCGCTGTCTACTCAGAAATCTGCTCGAGGAGCTCGACGATTGCGGTGATAATGCGGTTGCCATAGTTGACAGGAACGGTAGGTCCAAATGGAAATTGGACACACACCGTTTGGTTACGAACCTATCTCCCAAATCTGCTCCGTTTCTTTCTGAACAGGGTTTAGCTATCTGAATAGAGGAAGCATATTCACGTTCAAAATAAATTTAGGATGTAGGGCTGCTTCGAATGTGAGACAAAGTGCAATCGAGTTACACACGTGAGACCAAACCGCATGACCGCTAAGTTACGGGGCGACATTCGAAGCCACCTTAACGACGGAAATTCGTTTTGAGTGTGTGTATGCTCCCCGCAGAAACTTCCGCAACTTTGTTCATACAGCTTCGCAGCAGGTATGGAGTCAGCTTCTCAACCACCATCACAATCCAAAGACACATCAGTCGATCTATTTCTCATTTGAAAAGTCCACTTTGACCTAGCAATCCCTCCTCCCCCCCCCTGAGCTACATTCATCCGAGTTAGCTACCCTACGATCGTATTCTCAACTATCCATGCTTTCACAACCAGCAGTCTGTATCAGCGGGTTCAAACCTGCGCATTGGTCGACGACCGCGT